CCCCAGGGCAGCTGTGGCTACAACTGTAGCTGCCTCCACCAGTGTGTGAATGTGAGAGTGAATGAATAGTGGCATTGTAAAGCGCTTTGGGGGCTCGAAAAGTGCTATATAAATGCAAACCATTATTATTAAGCGAAACAAAACAGCCAGATAAGTCAAACTTTACTCAACTCATTCTTCTTGCTTCCTCCACTTTCGTACCATTGATCCATTAATGTTGAATTCTCTCGCAGCTGCTCTGTTCACATGTTGTTGCAGTATATTATTGACTAACCTCTGATTGTGGATGGATTATCTCAGTTGTTCTCCTGACTGAAGTTTGGTCCGTTTACAGCATCCTGTCACGTTAACTTCTATCGGAAAAAACTTAGCATTCATCCTCCAGCTTTACTGTGTTTTTGTTATGCTAACACAGCTGTGTCGCTAGCGATCACATAGCACATCATTACGGTAGCCGTAATGCTCCGACAATCCATCAAGCGGTGCGATTTTGGAGAAAATTAAAGGATTTTAAGTGCACCTTATAGTACGGACAACACGGTAAGTGCAATGAGGAGTGAAAGAAGCCATTTACGATTTACGTCCACTGTGAGCGACCATCTTTAAACAGAGGCGGTGGTTTACGACACCAACTCTCTGCCATCTATAATCCAGTTTTGAGAACCCTCCCCAGACGCCTTAACGCCCACTCACATCCTGGGCCATCTGACCTCAGGAAATCACATGATAGGGTGGGGCCAGGTTTCCCAATGAGCTCACCCAAAACCCTGGTGATTGTGACCCACACCCGTTTTCACACCTTGGCTCATGTGATTAGGTAGAGGATCATCATCAACTTGATGATGTCAGACTGTGTCCTCTCTTTGAATTACTGTTGTTAGTAACAATGTATATAGATAAACAGAGACTTGTAGCATGATCGTGAATAACATCTCATATGAAAAATCTCCACTGGGTTATCAAGAAACTGTTGATCGATCACAATCCACACGGCATTATCACCAAAGGCCAAAGATGGAAAACTCACTGGCATCACTAAGGGAGCAAATTTCACTGGTTGACTACCTACACGGGGACTATTTTCACACCTCATTTGCCATTCCTAGTATAGATTATTATAAATCGCCCACACATAAAGGCTCACAGAAACACATCCACACAGAGAGTGGTCAGATGTGGCTGTACTGTGGACAGACGGACAGATTCAGAGATGGGTAGATGGGGAAAAAGATGCTACACTCCAAAATATAAAAACTGAAGAGGGGGGGGGATGAGGAGAGAGAAAAACAAAAAGTGGCACTGTAGAGATATTTTTACGTGAAGCTACTCAAAAACGAAGCACTGATAGCACAATGCAATCAACTAAAATGTCAGGGAGAAGTGGCCCGTGAGAGCAGATTGGGCCTTTAACTGCTCCAATCAGCAAATGGTTCTACTGGCCTGTCTACATCTGTCAAGAAAAACAGGCTGCACATAGGAAGAAATTGTGTGCTCTTGTGTGACAAAAGGAGACAGTGCAGAAGCGTTGATCTGTGAGTATTTGTGAGAGAGGGTGATCTTTAAAGGGGTAGTGGAGAAGTTACTTGGCCTTTTCAGCTTCAATCACAGCCATTCGGTATGATGCCATTATATAAGTGCTAGCGTTCTTCAAAAGAAGAGACAGCAGGACATCATTCAGCCTTTAAGATGAACGATAAAAATACTCTGCAGACTCGGCCTTCTTCATCGCCACGCCACTGACGTGATTACCATCATCACGACTTCAATTGGAGAAAATAGACAAAAGAGGTTATGGACGAGTAATTAGGAGAAGAAAAAACTAAAAGCAAAAGGTGAAGGGAAAAAGATTAAAAGCGTCAAAAGGAGAAAATGAAGAGCTATACTGAAAAAGAAGGAGCTGCAAGAGGAAGCAAAGAAAGGAGGAAAAACTTTGAGGAAGGAAGCTCGCAAAGACTTTCAAAAGACTTTTTTCTTAATGACTGTCAGTACGCCCTTATTTATGAGTAGGACTGCAAAAAAGGGGGAGGAAAGGACAGTGTGGAAAGGGTAGCAGACAAGAGGGGGGGAAAGGATGGATACGAAAGGGTACATAGGGAACAAGAGCAACACAAGACAATGATAAGTTAAAGAAGACCATCTTTCCTTATGTAGGTTAATTGGGTGAGGAATTAAAGCAAAAAATATATAATTCAATCCAACACATGGACATTAACAATAAAAAGGGCTGCTAGCATATGAAATTATTCTTAATACACACACACACACACACCAAGTGACTGTGTCTTCCAAGTGTGTTTCTAATTATCAGTTAATTGTTATTCCCTATCATTAGGAGGGTGGGTTTTTAATTGTAATGTAGCCAAGCAGAAAGCCTACCTATACATGTGGGGGACAATTAGCCACCTCCATTAACCCCTGGTTAATTACAACCTCTATAGCTGCTTCCCACAGCACTTTTCCCACTGCTTTTTACCCCTCGTCTCTATCCCCAGGCCTTCATCCCCTTACTTTTTTACATTTCTGCCCTCATTTCATTAATCAGTGATCCCAATCATCTTTGATGTTTGATTCAAAGTATCTGTTATGAATTTATTTTTTAAAGAAAAAAGGAAGAAAAAAAAAAAAGTTCTGTCATTTGCTTTTTCAAGGTTACCATTACCCAGTTCATCCTCTATTTCATCCACTGACATGTTTCTCCTCTCCTTTTTCAAACCAACTGTTTTTAATCAGGGCTGAAATTATGAATGCAAACAGGCAACCAGAGCAAGAATAATAGGACTGAAAAATAAGCCAGAAATTAAATCTATCAAGGTCAGCAATCACATTTAATATAACATTAAAATATTAACTAGAATTTGTACAAAAGGTCCCACTTCCTTGAGTTTTATCCCTGTCATTGAAGCAAAAGTTCACGTGTGATTTTATTCCCAGCAGAACATTGCTTAATAAGAATTGTGACATTGTGTAGGAAGTGTTCAAACACCTCAGTTTTAAGGAAAGAGAGGTCTTCCGATCATTAACTCATTGTCCCAGTAAAGGATTTTAAGAGTGCAGTACATTACCTTCTATCATGTTTTGCAGATAATTTGTACAAAAATCACAATCAGACCAAAACAGAACAAACCAAGAAAAACAAGGAAGTTGCTTTTCAATCTAAGTGGCTGAAAAGTAACTTCCTTTGAGATAAAGTAATCAATAAATAAAGATTAAAAGACTCAAGTCGCAAAAGAGCTGTCAAAAGCAGGCCACAGAGGATGAGCGGTGTATCTATAGCACTTCTCAGGAGCCTTAACACGGGCAAACACTTACGGTGGGTTAAGATAGACCTGCAACGTACAGTAGAGGAGCAGATGAACAGGAAGGAAGATGCAAAATATCAATTTATCAAACACATACTGACAATGATGTCTCAAGTCACACCTACTATGCTGGATCAACACCATGGTAGGCGATGAAGTGAACTAACACAGCACAAGCATGACACTCATCGTCGCAACACGATGCTCACCATTATGCTATCTGCTTATTATATCGATATTTTGATGGCTGTAAGGTAGGTTTAGATGTTTCAAAAGAATGAAGCATCCATGCATGTTTAGATCATATGACTAAAAGCAAACGATGTCACACCCTTTCTTGCACTACTTTATAGCAGGTTTGCACAGACCATCAGTTTTCTTGGTGTTTCATCACATACTCAGTCCAAATGTATCCAGTTTTTATATTCTTCTCATTACCAACAATGCAAGATTTAGAGTTAACAAAATATTCTATTTCCCAGAAAATCTTGACACCACCAGCTGCCATATAGCAGTGAAAAAGTCCGACTGAATAACAGCTCGCTCCCCTAGCTGAGACTTTCTTAATGACCTGACTGCTGGACCTCGGGGTAAAAATGCACCACGCTTTACCTGCTCTCACAAAATTGAAACAGAGAGCTGATAACGGTTGTTAAACGCACTCATCTGGCAAATTATAACTTCAACCCTTTTCCATTATTGGTTTATTTTCAGAGTGATGGCACAGTGATGATCTGTCAATGGTGATCTGTCAATGTCAAAAGGCAACTTGCTCTTTTTCACATTTCTCTGGCAATGACATAAAAAAGAGCAGACTACAAATCCCCACAGCAGCAAATTTTACAGGAATACCAAATGAAGTAGAGAAAGTCTTAATTGATGGCAAAACCCTGATGTAAATTTACAAGTCTAACTTTAATTAACCAATTAATAATCTAATTAACTATTTCACAGACTCCTGAAGTTTGCTAGAGAGTGAATAATAATGAAATAATTGAAAAGAAAATGAACTGGTTGCAACAAACAATGGACCAGGAAACAACATGTTGGCATGTGTCATCTATCCAGATAATCTGGACAATGGAAGGACTTTTTTTTAAAAACACACATTGCAATCCTTTGCACTCAATACATGAATATGTTATTTAAAAAGAGGCACGACTGTCAGTTCATGAAAAGCGATAGAATAAAATAATGTGTTGTGTCTCCAACACAAGTTAATTTTTTTTAAAAAGGGGGTAAGGCAGAAAAAGATTTAAATGGCAGAAAATTCATGTCTCACAGACATGCAAATACACAAAGTCAGGGCTAGAGATCGAGAGAGAAAATAGAGAGGGGTAACAATGCCCATTGTTCCATTAGAAAAGACAATAATGATTGATAAAATGAGGTTACTAAAGAGGACACAATGGTCCTTAATTGACTCATTAGGGAAAGAAGAGAATGAACTAATCAGCAGAGAATGAGTGCTGCAGCTAAACTGCTTGGTAAGCAAAACAGAAAGGCTTTTACTTTATTAAATCTAGGCAAAGCAATATTGTTTGTTCACAGAAAGAGCCCGTCAGGAGAAAAACAAAGCAGGTAAAAAGGAAGTGTGTGTGGAGTGTCTCGGTGTTTTACTTTTATTAATACCGATGCATTATTATATTTGATAGGACTCGTGGGTGAAATTGGGGAGGTGCTTGTGTGTACTGCGCATACCTCTAGGTGTTCCAGGATATATGGTGGATTCGTCATCCCCAGCCTTAGCATGGCACCTTCGGGAATCTCCTCCACCAGTCTCCACAGCAGCGTGGGCAGGTCTGTCCCTATGTCTCTACCGTAAGCACCGGTGTCCTCACTGGTCAACCAGATCTCGCACACTCCCTCTACAAAGGCACGCACATATAAACATGCTCATTAACCATAGTAAATTCATTAATTCATATGAAGTAACAGCCACCAATAACCACCATCAATAATCAAAGCAGGCTGCGTATTAGTTCCCAAGTGGGAACAGTTTACAGTGACTGTGGGTACTGTTGTACTTAAGGGAATCTCATGTTAACATTTCACTAATTTGATTAAAAATAACCTTACCTACTGAAGGTAATGAATGAAAAACATGTAGGCTGAAACCTGAGGGAGATATTTGACTGTTAAATTAACTGAATCAAGCATTCCACTTTAGAGTTAATGTTTAGCTTGTGTGTGCGTGTGTTAAAATATCTTTTTCCTGTTTAACGACTTAGTTAAAATTATCCATGCTGCTTGTGCTAGGAGGACATCGCTCTCCTCCACCACGTATTATTCAAAGTTGATTTTAGCGCTACATATTTGAAACTTTCAAAACTTTGGCTAATTTGAGGTCAGAAGTTTGCTGATAGCATTCTACAAACTGCTTCACGGTCCTATTTTTGACATCCATACAGCCCGTTATGGCTGTCTGCTTAAAATAAGTCCAATTAACAATTACCGTCTGTGCTCCTGACTAATGAGTAACACCTGAAAAAGCTTTAAAATGCCCTTCGTAAAACTCTCTCCTGCTCTCGTAGCTATAATTCTCTGCGGGAGTCTCCTCACATCACATTATTTTCTTCTTCTTTAAGCAACTGTCAGAATAAACGTAAAAGTTGGTTTTTACTCTGTTTTACTTCCTTCTTCATCTGTTATTAGAAATACTAATGTAAATAGTTATGACAGCCAAGCTCAAGCTCCAAAGGTTCCATGTCATTATCTCACCTTCTCTCAGGTATCATTATTTCACTGCCACTCTGAAGCTTTTGTTGTCATTGCTTATATATGCCAGGTCTTTGATAGAAACCCCATTTATGACAGTCACTGACAAGTATTAAAAATACCAGTGTTGTAAACATGGATTGCAGGAATGTGAAGGTCAAATTCAGCAAGAGGGGGTGATCAACTGGCTTCATGCTAAATTAGAGCAACGCTCAGCGCTAGAGCTTAATGAGCTAAGTGTCATTTGACTGCAGGTCCGGAAATGGCTGAGTGTCTGTTTAAGCTATGTGTTAAGACATATTATATCACACAGGCACACATAAACACATTTGCACTTGCAGGGGGACAAGTATTAGGTACACACACGCAAATGCACACAACCATCATTATCATTAGCTGTGCAGAGACAGACAGAAAGATGCATGTGGTCATACCGTTTGGCTAATTGGACAGTGTGTGTGTATAGAGGTGAGCATGGGCCAGATAGATTAAAAATGATGACGGTGTAATTGTCTGGAGTCGAATTAAAGCGTTTCCAGAGCTCATCGTCGACATTAAGAAGCACTAATGATTTCTGTCGCCAGCCGCGTCTAAAATCGCAATCAAATGCATCCATCAATCACACATGCTTAAATCATATCAGGCCAGCAAGCACACTGTATAAGAATATATCAAGATAGCTTCAGTGTGCAATTAATCCGATGCATATTTCACCTTCGGACAATATTTAATAATAACCTAGTTCATTAAACTCCCTATCATTATTTAATGCATTCAATTTATTATGCTTAGAAAGTACGCGCTGTTTTTAAACAACGTGTCTCCTCACAGGCATAAGACCTTCCCGTGTGCTGCTGGCCACCAGACATCGTCAAACCACCCCAGAGGTTGAGCATATCTCATATAGACGTGTTATCTTCTGATATTAATTTGTAATGGTGTTTATTTACTGCAGTATTTACTGTATTTATTTAATTTGTCACATTCCCATCTTTTAAAGGTAAAGAAAAGCATTGATAGCAATTCCATGGACAGCTCAAATCAGCTTGTTTGGGCTCAGTAATACCAATGTCACTACCAAGTCAAGGACCTTGACTGCATCATCTACATACCAGTAATGACCAAAACCAGCACAATAACAGTGTCCTTTTCAGCTTAACTGTTGCAGAAAGACACTGACCAAATGATGGCCTCATTCACAGCCAAACGTACTTTGAAATGACCTCTGAGCTAAATTGCTTCCTTCCAAAACAACATTCTTGTGATTCCAGTCCAATAATGCTGTACAAATAGTAAGCATATATATTGTTTGCTGTGAAATATTTCTGAATCCCCTGTTAATTATGTTTTGAGCAGGGTGATGCTTTGCAAAAGTCTCTTATGTTTACTCAAGGCCACAGCCATGCACAGATCTCCAGCTCAACTCAATAACCTACCCAGTAATTTGCCCTTTTGGCTTGCCTCTCGGTTCTTTTGTGTCAGGTGTGCCAACGGTGTTATTGTTGGCCAAATACAGAGAGGAGGCAGCTATTAGGAAATGCCTGCCCTTCTGTATCTGGTCTTATACAAGCTGCACATCTGCTTCCTCTGCTTTTGTTTACGTGTAGTGACGAGAGGTCACAGTGGTGAAGGGCTGACAATTGTCTCCTGTCAAGATGATGCAAAAAAGTCACGATGTCTGTCAGGAGACATTTGTGAACCTAATAGCGCATTAGCCATCGCTTTTCATAATGTACTCGCTAATAATTTATATACAGTACGCCTAATTGCCATCATTATATTATCTGAGTGGTTTTACTTCAATAAATACTTTCTGGTAAGTAGAAAGTATGTACACTGCTGAATGGTTTAGGAAATACTGTTCTGAGCACATTTTGGCCTCTGATACCATTGAGAAATATGAATATTGATCATGTACTATCATTGTTTTATTTTATTTTATTTTTAATATGGGAAGATGAATCCCATGCAAAAAAGTCAGGAGGGACACATTTCCACTGTGCTTTGGCCTGTGTGTGTTGACATTACACATTAACATTTGACCCAAGTCCTTTTTCCAACCACTTTATGATGTAGTTTGATGTCAGAGCAGTTCCAAACACGGGTGGGTTTTCCTAAACGCTATTAACATTCACTTCATCCTGACAAAGCATAGCACAGACAGGGGAGTGAAAAAGCATGTCAGGATTTTAAAAAGTCCTGATATGCAAAACAAATTCAAGCAAAGGTAAAACAAAACACTCAGTGAGATAGATCTGCACTTATGACCGCATTCCCAAACCTACAAGCTGAGAGAGAAAGCTTGACCACAGAGGAAACAGTTGCACGCATGTCCAAGTTCCATTCGTCTTTGTCCAAGAACAACACCATCAGTGCGCCTGAATAAACCATACAAAGCCATCATCACACCCGGTCTCGGTCAAATACTTGTTTGCTGTGTCTGGGTTTGCTTTTATGGACAAGTTTTCATTTTAGACTAAATGTAATGAGGACATTTCTATACTTGCAATTATATTTTGGCTCTTATCCTCACAATATGAAAGGTGCTTTCTAGACACAGATTCTTCCCCATTAATCTGACAGCACCTCATAGTGTCAGCTGTATGCCTGAATGCAGCACTTGTTCAACTTTTTCATTAAAGTCAAAATGGACATCTTGCAATGGTACGGTGCTACGGTCTAGGACCGTACCATGTTGCATCTTTCAACATGGTACGGTCTGCAGGCACTCTGTAACAAGTATTTGCCCCCTTCCTAATTTCCTAGTGTTTTGCTTATTTCTCACGCTTACGTGTTTCAGATCATCAAAAAAATGTTAATATCAGACAAAAATAACCAAAGTAAATAGAAAACGCAGTTTTTAAATGATGATTTCATTGATTAAGGGGGAACAGTTATCCAAACCGCACTGGTCCTGTGTGAAAAAGTAATTGCCCCTCTTGTTAAATCATGAATTAACTAATTTTTTGGGAAAGTTGAGCTCAGTTTCACTAAACACACTCAGGCCTAATTACTGGCAGACCTGATGAATCAAGAAATCACTTAAATAGAACCTGTCCGACAAAGTGAAGCAGGCTAAATGATCCCAAAAAGTAACAAAGTCACTGAAATATCAGTCTGGAAAGGTTAACAAAGCAATTTCTATTTATTTTCTTTGGGACTCCAGTTAACCACAGTGAGATTCATTATACAAAAATGGAGAAAACTTGGAACAGTAGTGAAGATTTTGGTTTGAGTGGCGTTACATTTGGCATTAAAGTAACACAGAAATGTAACATCATACCAACAGTAAAATGGTGGTGGTAGTGTGGTGGTCTAGGGCTGTTTTGCTATCTCATGATCTGGAAGACTAAACGGAACAATGAATTCTGATCTCTACCAAAACATCCTGAAGGAGAATATCTGGCCATCTGTTCGTGACCTCAAGTTAACATGCACTTTGGTTCTGCAGCAGCACAATGATCCAAAACACACCAGAAAGTCCACCCCTGAATGGTTTAAGAAAAGAACAAATGAAGACTTTGGAGTGGCCTAGTCAAAGCCCTGACTTGAGTCTGATTGACATGCTGTTGCATGACCTTAAACAAGCTGGAGGGTTTCACAGCATTAACAATGTGGCTAAATTACAAAAATTCTTCAAAGATGAGTGGGCCAAAAATCCTCCACAGGGTCGTAAAAGACTCATGGCCAGTTATCACAGTTGTTGCTACTAAGGGTGGCCCAACCAGTTATTAGGATTAGGGAACAATCACTTTTCCACACAGGGTCATGTAGGTTTGGATTTTTTTTCCCACTTAATCATAAACACCTTCATTTAATTATTTCCAACACAGGCCTGTTTCTGTTCAGCTTCCATACTTTTTAGAAGTACATGCAATAGTCATGTTGTCATGTAAGACGTATATGTAATAATCAAAGAGGCTGGATGCTTTCCAGTGTGTCCACACTGTAATGTAAAATGACTAGTATTTCCAAACAGAATAAACTATAACACAATTACATATCTGCGATATTTACAATCAAAATAACACAGAAATGATAAAGAAATTTCATTTATTCCTATTGTAAGGTTAAAACTGTTGTATTTTTTGCAAAAATATGTTATAGTTAATATGTATTATCTGAATACTAATTTTGAAAATATGTACAT